CGCCGGGATGGCGAGCCCGGCGACTCGGGCGACGAGGACGGCCAGGGTCCGGCGAGCGACGCGCGTCACTCGGCCCAGTCTCACACCAACGACTCGGCGCGCTCGACCAACAGCGGCACGATGAGCTCCGACCGGTCGCAGGCGCAGGACCCGTTCTCGCCCGGCGGGTTCGTCTCGTTCTCGGACGCATCCTACAGCGGCGGACGGGGCGGCCTCATCTCGCCGCTCGGGTCGCGGACGTCGCCCTCGCCGCTCATGAAGCGGAGCCCGACGTGGTGGGGCCGGTTCATGAGCAACAGCTTCCTGGAGCGGAGCGCGTCGGGCCGCCTGCTGAGCGGGCCGAGCGCCGAGGTGCCCATCCGCGACCCGGCGCAACCGCCGGAGCTCGACGCGATCGCAGAGTCCCCTGCCCTTTTTGGCGCGGATCCAGACGACGCGGATCCCTTCCGCGACGGCGCGGCTGCGGCCGAGCAGCAGCACCTGAAGCGCGGCTCGACGTACGCTGCCGGGCTCGACGAGATGGGCCGGCGCGTCCAGCAGGATGGCAGCGAGGCCGACACGACGCCCTTTTCGTCGTACCAGCACGGCCGCTCGCTTTCAAGCCTCAACAGCAACCGCACGGCGACTAGCTCGATGCTCGAGTACCAGCTGCGCAACATGCAGGTCATCCAGCGGGTGCGCACCGGCAGCAGCCGGAGGACGGGCAGCTCGCGGACAGGCAGCTCGTCGGACACGGACAGCATGGCTGCGCTGAGCCGCGGGCCCAGCATGCTGCGACCGCGCAACCTCGTCTCGGTCGAGGAGGACGACACGGCGACCACGCCGGGATCGGTCGTGTGGCAGCCGGAGCACTGGAACGCGCACGAGACGATGTACGAAGAGCACGAGGATGAGAACGAGGGCGAGAGCGAGGGCGAGGGTGACGACAACGACAGGGACGGGCCTGGCGACGGCAGAGGTAGCCCCAGTCCACGGACGGCCCGCTCGCCGTTTGCCGACGACGGCGATGAGGGCGCTGGAGTCGAGATGATCGCGTCCCCCACCGAGGCCAAGGCGAGCCTGCGATCGAGCCCGACCAAGGCGCTCCGCCGGGCCCAGGTGGCGTCCGAAACGCCGAGCATCACGCCGGCGACGACCAAGCGGGCGAGGCTCAACCCGCTGCTGACGTCTCCGCTGCGGCCCGAGCCGGCCAAGTCGACGCCGACGGTGCTGAGCGGCAGCGTGCGGGACCGCGTCAAGGCCATCGAGGAGCACGATCCGGGTGCGACGCTGCTTCCGTGCAGCCCGTCGTCGAAGGCGTGGAGCGCGTCGCTGGGAGCGTCGAGCGTGTCGTCGTACGCGCCCGACTCGTCTGCGGCCAGCTGCACCACGGCCACCACGGCTACCACCACCAACACGGCCTCGACGACGCCGGCCTCTGAACGCCTCGGACCCTTGCTCACGTTTGAGCCGCTGTCGAGCTCCTCTTCCTCCGCCGCCGTCGCCGCCGCCGCCGAGGGCAAGGGCAAGCGCACCTCGCCCACGCCACCTGCCGGGCGCACCAAGAGCCGGACGGGCGGGGCGGACAAGCTGAGCTACACGCACGGCCTGGCGCCCAAGCCGCAGCTGTTTGTCGCCAACCCGGATGACCGACGGACGAGCAGCGGATCGTCGTGAGCGGCGGTGGCGGCGGCGACCGCCCTGACCATCATCTTTCTCAACGTTCTGCCCCGGTCGCGGCGCAACGGACAGTCTGCCTACAAGGCCCGCTCCCTCTCCTAGATCTCCCCCTTCCCTCTCTTTGTCATCGTCGCATGCTCGGTAGTGTTGTCCTTCCACCCCTTTCCTCTCCCTTCCCTCTGATCGCATCAGTCACAATCCCGTCTCCATCGGACCTAGCCTGCTTCATCTCCTCTCTTGATCCTGGAACAATTGGTCCCGCGCGATCCCCCGTCGTCTCTGGGCCGCCACGTTTTTGTACACTCTGTATCAAGACCTTTTTTCTTCATTATCGCCGAACCTGATCTGCATGGGGACAATTGCCATGACCCTCGTTGATGACGCCGCGGCAACGGATCGGATGCTCCGGTGTCGGTGTTGGTGTGGTCGAAGTGAGATATCGCAGAGCCGGATGCGCCCTGCTTGCCGCCAAGTTTTGGGGGGGCGACGCTGCGACCTGCGCGCGTGGGGTTAGCGTCGACTTGTGTTGGTCTCTCGCCTCGCCTCGCCTGGCCAACTCGACAGGCCAGGCCAGGCCAGGCGAGCCCCTGAGTGGCCGTCTGTTGACGTTTCGCCGCCGGGGTGAAGCCCCTATTTGGAGGCGCGCGGCGCGGCTCGACCCACACGTACGATCTCGATCGACCATCGACTCGCGGCTCGCGGCTCCCCCCACCTGTACTCAGCCTTCGGTCCATCGCAGGAACATCCTTTCGTATCGGTCGCAAACTCTTGCCAGCAGTCAGCATGACGTCGCCCGCCCGCCTTCCCGCAAACAAACGAGCTCTAATATCGGCGGACCCACCGACGGACGGGCGGAGGGTACCGCTGTGCGCCTGTTTTAGAGGCCGACTGCCAGGGTCTTGCGGCGATGCCACGATCTGGTCGTTAGAGAGAGCAGACATTGACCGCACGCTGGAGCGCTCGAGAAGAGTGATGCGGCTGTGCCGAGACGTAGGCAGCGTCCCGACGGGAAACGACGGGCGTGCTGGGATGAGTGGGCCAAATGGCGAGCCCCTGCCTGCCTCTTGCTTGCCTCGATGGCACCTGCACGCCCCACGCCCGCGCCGCCCGGTAACTAGGCTCTCCCCCGCTTTGCCTTCTTTACGCCCCTTGACGAGAGCAAGCAAGCAGAGAGGCGACTCGAGCGAGCAGAGAGGAGGACCCTAGCCTAGCCCTGCCAGCGTAGCGTTGCCCGCCGCCCTCTGTTGCGGGCCGGCCCCCCTTTTCTTCAGTCGCCTTGGTTGCTTGCTTGGTCTCCTCTGGATAGCCCCACCACGACCACCGTCACCACCACCACCGTACCGCTCGTCGTCTTCGTCGTGGCTCGACTCCAGCGCTACCATCACGGTCCTTCTCATCACACCGCGTACTGCTGCACGGCACACCGACATCCACGACCGCAGACGCAGCAGCGCTGCACCGACGACCGACGACCGACGACCCGCTTGGCACACTTGACCCACTGCATCATCCGCTCGCGAGCGCCCTTGTCCACTCTCTCTGCTGCTCCAGTGTAGCCACGGCAGCTCGAGCTCGTTGCCATACCGCTCTCTGTCCGCCAACGTCCGGCATCCCGCTGACGACGACTACCGTCGACCGCGTGCGGAGACTGAGCGCCTTCTCCACCGCGAAGAAACGGATTCTCTGCGGCAGGCGCCTCTCGTCAACTCCGCACCGACCTGCAGGCCAGCAGGCAGCCCCTGTCGCCTCTCGCCCTCTCAGCCCTCGGCCCTCGGCCCTGAGCTGGTGGTCAACCTCTGGCTCCCTCGACCTCCTCCTCATCCTCGTCCGCCTCGCCCTTGCCCTCGCCCTCGCCCTCCGCTCCCTCACTCTCCATCTCGGGCGGACCCTGAATACACGACCAGACGACACCGACGACCGCCTGCTGCTTCCCTCAGCTTGGTGCTTGCAAGCGCACGTCGGCCACCGAGAAGTTGAATCCCTGCCGGCACGCCTGCACCCTCCACCGCCACCTCGACCCTCTGGTCGTCGTCGTCGTCGGCCCTGCTCTGCTACCCTACCCTACCCCACCCACCACTAGGCAACGCCACCTCGCGTCACGACCGCATCCGTCGCCGACGCCCCTCCCTTGCCCCGCTCCGCCCCATTTCGCCGCCTTAGAGTACCAAGACCCCGCTGCCTAGACCACGGCAACTTGCCTTCAGACTCTGCCGCCGCACCTTGCCCGCTCGCCAAGCAGGACACCCACCTCGACTTTGCCCGGACACAGCCATTAGACGGCCAAACGACCAACATCTCCCTCCACCCCACGGCCGCCGTCGTCGTCGTCCTCACCGCCGCCTGGTGCCTGGGAACTGGGGCCTGTGCCTGTGTCCGTGCCTTGTGCCTGAGACGGCGTCCAGCTGCTCGCTCGCCCGTCCGCCCGCCTGCTTGCCACGCGCCGCGTCCCCTTCGGCCGCCACTTCCGGCGTCCACGCGAGCCCACGACCTGCCTGCTTCCAGAGAGACTCCGAAAGCGGCGACTCCCGGCCCGCGCAACCCTCTACGCCATAGACTGCAGACGCGCGTTACAGGTGAGTCGACGGCGTGGCACCGACTAGCTGGCTGCAGATACGGGCGAGGCGAGGAAGGAGACAAAGCGGCCCTCTGGCGCCGACCCAGCTCAGCTCAGCACAGCTCAGCGCGGCACATCACAGCTCAGCTCGACAATAGGCCGGGCAAGCTCTATTCCGACCCTCCGACCTCCGCCGGCGACGAAAGCCGCCTCCGTCCCAGGTCGAGACTTTATAACAAGACGCCGCCCCCGCCCGTCGATCCTCCCTCGTCTCCATTCCCCCGTTTCCTCCTTTCCTTGCCTCGCCTTTGCCCGCTACCAATTCTGCCACCGACCTGCCCGCGGCGATCATCATCGAACCGGTTTCGCTGAGCCCACCCTCGCACGCGCTGCATCCCTTCCTCTCCCTTCGACCGCTTTGCTCTTGCTGCAACGCAGCGTTCCCTTTTACGTACTGCCTTCGCCACCCCGCAGGCCGGCCAGCAATCGCAGCCCTTCTAACCTTTCGAATAACCCCTAGACCACCTCTAGACTGCGCCACGCACAATGGACCGCTTCGACGTCATCAACTTTGCCGACCTGACGGGGCCCGACGGCGGCGAGTGGGTCAAGATCGGCGGTGGAAGCTTCGGCGTCGTGTTCAAGGTGAGTCGGCCCCCGTCCGCTGGGCCTGCCCGGTCGACGACGCCGCCGCATGAGCCACAGGAACTGCCTCCTGACACGAACCGCCCGCTCTGCCCTTGCCCGTACGCACGCACGCCATGCCATGCCACTGCTCCTTCTTTCCCCCTGCCGCGCAACCCGACTTCCAGGGCGAGTACCTCGGGACGCAGGTCGCCATCAAGGAGGTGCTGCCCAACAACACCTACGACGTCGAAAAGTACTTTGAGCGCGAATGCGTGCTGATGAAGGAGGCGCGGCACCCCAACATCACGCAGTACATTGGCCTCACCAAGAGCCCAGGGCCCGACGGCCGGATCTACATCATTTCCGAGTTTGTCGGCGGCAACCTGCGCGGCTACATCGCCGACAAGAAGAAGCCGTTCCCCTGGCGGCTGCGGATGAGCTTCGCTATGGACATTGCGCGCGCCCTGGCCTACCTCCACGCGCGCAACTGCATGCACCGCGACCTCAAGGGCGAGAACCTGCTCATCACGGCCAACGAGCGCATCAAGGTGTGCGACTTTGGCTTTGCGCGGATCGCGGCGCGCAACGACGACGAGATGCGCCGCATCTCGTACTGCGGCACCGACGGCTACATGTCGCCCGAGATCCTGCTGGGCCTCGACTTTGGCCTGCCCTCGGACGTCTTTTCGCTCGGCGTCATCTTTGCCGAGATTGCCTCGCGCCACCTCGTCGACAGCCAGACGTTCAAGCGCACCGTGCCGACCTTTGGCCTCGACGCCGACGAGGTGCGCGAGATGGCGTGCGAGGGGTGTCCGGAGGCCTTTATCCAGCTCATCCTCGACTGCGTCGAAGAGGACGCCCGCGACCGCCCCGACATGCGCCAGGTCGTCGTCCGCCTGCGCACCATCGAGCGCGAGGTGCTGCTGCGCGACGAAAAGGAGAACCGGTACGCCATCGGCAGCGTCCGCGGCGCCACGGTCCACTCGATCATGGGCACCAAGCTCAAGCGCATGACGGCGCCGCGCCTGCCCAGCTTCAACGGCGCCGTCAAGCTCGGCTCGCACTCGCGCCACACGTCCGAGGACGACGAGGCGAGCGGCAGCAGCGGCGACGAGCTCGAAGAGGCGCTCGTCGCGCTCGAAAAGATCGGCATCGACCCGGACGACCCCAAGAAGCAGGGCTCGCTGAAGGCCACGAGCACCTTCAAGGTGTCGGGCCACGGCAACCCGTGGTGGAGCGAGGACAACGGCGACAGCCTGCCGAGCATCAACCAGTCCTGGCTGCCGTCGCCGCCCACCTCGGCGTCGGCGAGGCGCGGCGAGTCGCAGGACGGCCTGCTCGCCAACCAGGACTACGCCGACAGCGACTACAGCACCTCGGTCATCCGCTCGTCGAAGCTGACGCAGAAGCACGCGCCACTGCCCATCATGGAGGAGCCGGCCAGCTCGACCATGACCGTGACGCAGGACAGCAGCAGCAGCGGCGGCGGCGGCGGCGGCCGCGACAACAACCACAGGAACGGGCACGCCGGCCACGCACACAACCACAGCAACGCCAGCAGCACCGACAGCAGCCCGCGGCGGCAGGGGGGCGCCCACTCGGTCGATCCGTCGTTTATGACGGCGCACACGCACCGTGCCGACCCTTCGCTCGCGCTCGCCACGCTCGCCTCTGCGCCCTCGGACTTTTACGCCGCGCCCGGACCCATCCACCACCGCTTCACGCTGGTCAAGAACAGCACCAAGCGGCCGGCCTCGATCGCCGTGACGGCAGCAGCGGCCGCGACGGGCGGCGGAGGCAACAACCTGCTCAGCTCGCCCGGCAGCCTCCTGCCGCCCGCCGTGATGCTGAGCAATGCGCTGGCAAAGTGCTGGGTGTGCGGCAAGCGGATCGGGTGGAAGCCGTTTATGGACTGCGACGACTGCCCGTACAAGACGCACGTCGGCTGCGCCGACCTCGCCCCGCCGACGTGCCAGGACATGCTCATCCCGCCCGGCCCCTCTGGCAACTCGGCGCAGCCCGTGCTGACACCGCAGAATGCGTCGCGCCGCAACTCGCG